TTTTTTTTTTTCTGGTTCTATCTGTGATTGAATGCTGGCTCCAGCTGTGTACTCCCACTTTGAGAATGAGTATTTCTGTATCTCTTTAAATGCACTCTTGAAGAAACATAGTCAATTCTGTTTACTTGCAACTAAACATTGAATTGCAATATACTCGTCTTGCTCAACAGTTCTTTATTCTGTAGGGCCCACCACTGTGGTGTTAATTTGTTTAATACCAGCATTCCAACAACACAGAATTTGTGCCAGTGACAGGAGACAGTGCCTGTGGTAGTGAAAATGTAGCATACAAGGTTTCCAGCTGTGCTCGCTGTGTGATGTTTGCACACAGGTTGGCACCAGACCAGATGAGCAGGGACCAGCCCAGGATAGTGGAACTGGGTGGAAATCAATGATCCAATGCCACTCAGAGTGGCATTTTTGAGCTGTAATTTAAGAGTGCAAAGTAGGCCTGTGTTACCTTGCCTCTGTAGTAATGAGAGTAATTAGAGATGGAGAGAAGAATAAAGGAGGCTCAGACTAGAAGAAAGCACTTTAAAATCTAGAGTGTTGGTTTGAAATCTGTTACCTGGAAAGCAGCACTTTCTTAGGTGATGTTGATGAAGTGATAACAGGTGAAAAAAGGACTAGTGCCTCAGAGTTCATACAGCTTTCTCATAGGTAGGATGCTAGGCTTGACATCAGTAACCTGGACATTTGTATATTCGTTGGTATATCTGAAGGCAGAAAGTCTCCCTTACTGGCATTTGAATTATTGGGTTTTTTGCTGAGTTAATCACCTGCATGCACCCATCTAGTAAGAGGAATTTCATATTCCTGAAGTAAAGGAGCTGCTATAACAAAGTTGTATGAAAACAAGTAAAGAAGTATACATTACAACCCTGCTCTACAGCTAATATCGAGGAATAGTTGAGCTTCCATTTGACATTGTGGTGTTTAAATGGAAGAATTATGTTTCTGGTGTAATAACTGCAGTTCTTATTTCGTAGGCTGATAATACTAACATTGTAGTTCAGCTGAAGGAGGAAAATGAATTTGCCCACAGTAAAGTGCAGCTGTGGATGAAATCCTGTAAGCAAATGGAAAAGGAAAAGGAAATGTTGCAGAAACAAATAGTTGAACGTGACGAACTATTAAAGAAGAAAAATCTATCTGTGTCAAAGTGTAAGGAAGAAGGTAACTGAATCTAGATTCAACCTTAATGCTTTCTTGGAAGATCATTATTCTGTAAAACTTTTTTTTTTTCCCTAAAATGCCAATTTTCAAATGCTCTTATACAGAGCATGATTCCTAGCTCTAGTATAAACAAGTTTGTGAACAAAAGTAAATGTGTCAAATGTTTTAAAAATCTAGTTCATTCTTGTTCTCTGAAAGTATAAGAGGCAAGTCTGGATTGTGAATATACATTTTAAATACTACATTTTTTTGTGGTTAAAAGTGACTTAGGGAAGAAGGGGAGTGTTTTTCTTAATAACTGAAGTTTGTCTACAAGTTCTTTTATCATTTTCCAGCAAGCTTTGCCCTCTGCTTCTCATGCTTTACTCTTCTTTTGGTTCATCTCATGAGATGCACTGTGAATAACACTTAAGGAAAGTTCAGGGTACAAACTTGTGTGTTCAGAAGTTGCAAAATGACAGGAGAAATGTTTGTCCATGCACTGGTCAAGGAGTCTTTAAATTTTGTATGTTTGTTCTCTATTTAGTAAATACATTGTCATGTCTAACATATTACTCATTGTTACACAGTCACTTTTTTATAGTTCCACAGTGATAGAACATATATAATTAATGAGAAGATGTCTGAGCATTGCATTATAAATTCTTAAATATGCATAATTTTGTCACTCATATGAATAATGGTATTTTACTTTGAAAGGTGCTGATGAGAATGCTATTATAGAAGAACTGAAGTTAAAACTGAAAGAATTACAGGAATCTGTAGAAGTTAAAACCAGAGAAGTAAATGAGACCTTGGAGAAATACTGCTCTCTAATTGTTAAGTATGATAAACTAGAGGAAGCAAACGAGATGCTAAAAACACAAGTCAGTTTGTTGGGTGCTCAGCTGAAACAGCAAACAAGTGATGCTGTCAGCAATCCTTTGCTGAATTTGGATGATTCATCAGCAGGGAGCAATCAGTCTGTCAAAGAGATGAGGTCAGGTGAAGATACTACTAAGCTTTCAGGTAAAAGACAGAGATACGAGGACAACAGGAAAGATAAAGGAGAACCAAGATCCCCTATGCCAGAGGTTTCATCCAAAAAAAAA